TTTTGCGCAAGGGGGGGGGGGGGGGGGGGGGGCTGGGAACAAAAATATAAAGCAAGCACACTATTATCAGCAAAGGGAAAAATATAAAAGGTTGAAGGCAGAGCACTTGGTGTACATACAAATCAGAACTATTTGTTTTCATGTAAGGAACATACAGAACACCCCATATACAGGCTTAAGCAATCTCAGCACACCTACCGTCCTCCTTGTCCAGCACCATCATCTCAGGGATCAAGAAGAGTCTGGGGGTAGATGCTTCTTTGCCAGCAGGCTCCACTCAGAAGAGAAGAGAACTAGTCTCTGGGAACACAGATGAGCTATAGTACAGCTGATCGTCCTTTAGCAGTGAGTGAGCTCTAATTACCCAGTTGTCCAGCTTTTAACCTAGATTGCACTCAGTTAGAATTACATTCAGAAATGAAGCACTTTGCAGATACAAAAGCAGTCTCACCTACTTTTGTACCTCAGAATTGCAAGGAACTAAAACTGCAATTTAGAAAAAAGGGAGATCAGAGCTGTTTCTTTGGTTCTCACCTTCTAAATGGCTCAATTTGCACAGTATAATCTGTTTTAATGTAATTGCATTTGATAGCTCATAACCCTGGCTGTTGCAACTACACAGCTTTCAACCTTATAAAGTGTTTTCCCCTTGGATTTAAGCTGATTCTAAATCTAAAATTATATTCAGAGAGGGTAAAATATCTAAGCCTGACTACTGCTGCCACTGTCTCTCAATTTGTGAGCTTTGCACATTTGCTACTGAATAAATGCACATATTTCCCAGGGACCCCTTCTTATTCTCCTGTCAGGGTTGAATGGTGATTTTAAGTCTTCTCAGCTCAGCAGCACCACCTGCAGCACAGTCTCTGTAAATTGAGGTTTGATTGCTACTGAATTATTTTGAGCATTTCAAATATTACTAACTTTGCCTCTGTTCAATCTTGTTCATGGTTTGTGGGCTACTTTCATTTATGAATATACTCAGTAGTAAGAAATTCCATCCTTAGTCTTTATGGACTGCAATTTACCAATGTTTTCTTTTTGCTTATGCATTTTATTTCTCCAAAGCATGATCACTTTACCCAATATGTTTATTTAAAACTGGAGGGGGTCGCTTGAAAATGGCTAGTAGGTTTCAATAGGTCAAAGATTGATAAAGTTCTCTACATAAAATTCTAAGGGCACAGCCTTGGTACATTGACTACTACAATTATTAACTGTTTCACAGATGTGTCATAGCTTACAACTCAATTTAACGTTTTTGGTCCTCATTTCAACCTTATTTTAGTACGCTCACTTAAAGCTTCAAAATACAACTTGCAAAATTCAACACTGAATGCACTTCACCTTCAGCAATCCATATATTATCGACTTATACAAGCCAAATACAACGGTAGCCCATACCTACTGCTCTACCTGTTCATATACACTGTTGTGCCAGTTAATTCTAGTAATGCCAAATTATTAGAAGATATGATCTGCTATTCTTACTCACACAAGTAGACCATTGTTCTCAATTCTGTCAGTAAATGTTCCAGGATCAGGTCCTTTAATGCTGATCTAAACAGCATGTCAGCTGTGTCCATTTTTTTAAATCCAAGAAAACATTTTATTCTCATTTTAATGATACTTTTCCTTTCCCTTTACAACTGATACAACAGCACTCTTTAAAAGCATGATAGCAAGCTCAAGTTATATATCCTTAATACCTATTTTTAATTAGATTCCTTATCCTCAGCTCAAATGGCTTTTCCCTCCCCCTTCATTTTGAATACTTAATCCTAACAGTCCTTGAACATATTTGATGTTAAATGCATCATCATTTTGCATAGTCATTTCATCCAGCACTTAAAACTACTATTCTTTTTCCTGTAATATTAGTTTGCAAGAGCCGAAATTATACCATAGGGTAAGAGTGCAACAGCTATAAGTGATTATTTAACTAAGTTAAAAAGGAACGGGAACTGTAACGCCAAGATGAGAAAGCTAGTGCCCAAAAGTTCCGATTTAAAATTGCTTAGCACAGAAGTAGGATTTTCTAAACTGTAATATTTTAGACTGATGCTACTGACTTTTTAAATGAATTGTAGGTTTTGTTTTGTGTACTCTCAAGCTGCGCGGTATGAGCAGAGTATTTTGAGGCAATTTTATCTTTCAAAAAGAAAGGATTTAAAATATTTTTATTCAGCGATTAAAAGTAATGTACATTCTCAACTTTGCTATAATAGTTGACTTTTGTAGTAACTACACATACAAACTGACTGACATAATGCACCTGCCTAAAATTTTGTGCAATAATACGCAACACTGAGCTGGTACACATTTTATCCCTACATCGCTTCCACATGCCACATAAATTTGCACCAGGAATAACCCAAATGATATTTTTCTTGAACTTCTTTCATTCACTTTACTTATTTCAAACTCCAGTGGAAATTTTTTTTTCCAAACCCTTAACCTACTTGAAAGAACAATTAACAGAAATCAGCCGTGACTAAGATGGTATTTTGGCATTGGTCATGATATCTGAGGGCAGCTCGCTGATTCTGATTGCAGAGAACAGATGGTTAAAAACATTAAATCAGCATTTATATATTTGAGGAATATCTAGAATCGCTCCATTATTTATAAAGTATATCAGCCACTGGGCTGGTTAGTTTGTCTTAGGCAAAAGAAATGACATAGATATACTGGGCCAAATTCAACACTGATTTACACCCTGGAGTTGTACAGGCGCAAGTCCTTAAATAATTCTTCTTTAATCAAAGCTTTTAAGGGTTGTTTTGGGAAGACATACACATAAGTTTCCATCTTAAAACGGTATCTTCTACGTAATATCACATTACGTTACATCAGTCAAGTTATACTGTGTCACTTCAGACATGAAATAATGCTACCTCACTGACATAACTTGACATAGTGCCATGATTTATCGAGTCAGGGAGCTGACAGGTTTTTTTAGCCTCGTCCTTTGCCCACAATGATATCGTTATTGTTGAGACCTTAAGAAAGCAATATTGTGTTTCAGTTGCTTCTATCAAAAGCAAGAAACATTTGCCAAGGAAAGTTTCTTCTTACAAGGCAGCAAGCGGATTATTAGACTGCGTGTGGTGGCGGTGTCATGCTAAGGGCTAGCATGCTGCCCCGGAGCCATGATTGCTACACGTACCCTGAGGCTGGGAGAGCAGTCTCTACCAAGACCACAACGCAGCTTGACAACTAGCTCTCAGGGATGCAAAAGCTCGGAGCACGTTACAAACTCTACTTCAGAGAACACCACTCTTGCTCTCCGTGTAATACCCCAATACCGTTAGAGAAACGACAGACTCCCCAAATGCCAGCTTTCCATTCGGCAGCGCACAGCATTTGCTAAGCTACGGCAGTGCCCTCTTCTATAAACTTTTCTTTTTTAACACTTCAAAATGAACTGGAAAAAAGGAGGGCGTTTTACATCCACCGTCGTCAATGCTAGGATTTTTAGACGTTAAAAACTAGGCCTGTTCTTTTTAATGCACGCTTTCAGCTTGATATGGAAAGGAACTGGTACGGCTAAGCGAAAGCCTCCATTTTAGTCGCGTTTGTAACCCAGGCAGATCCAGCATGTCTTCTAATATTCATACGTAAGCAGACAACTGGAGCCCATGAGTCGGGCAGAAAGAAGGAAAGAACGGCTCAAGTGTAATATAACCATCTCCTCAAATAGTTACCTCTCTTAATCTCACCTTCTGTCCCCAATTTCTAACATCCTTAATAGGTGCAATTTCTCCTCTAGCCTAAGTACCCTGTCAACAGTTTTGAAGATTCCTAGGCATTACTTCAGTTTGTTACTCTGATCTCCACATCCCTCTCTCATCAGGGGGTTGTTTCTTACTTCTCTTCTTTTTAAGTGCATCCCATTCTAATTTCCTCTTTACCTCCACTCCCATCCCCATTATTTCCTTTCATATAGCCATTCATGAGATCTCCTGGAAGGAGGGCTGTTGAGAACTGTCTGGATAATCAATGGTTCTAGTTTCACTCACTCATGCCATCATCATGCCAGCCCTGAGCTCCTCAGGCTTAATGAGTAAGTCTGCAAGACTTGAAAGAACCCAAATATCCCCATTAGGAGACCCTCTTTAGATCTCGGTCTTTCCTCACAGCTCACCTGCTTCCCCCACTTCTGCTGTGGAAGCAGTATCCTGCTGTTACCCATCAATCAGATTTAAATCAGATAGGGGCTAGCAGGCACCCTGTGACAAGAAGTCAAGGGGATTAAGACGTCACCCGGTTTATTATTATGAAAGGGTGTTAATGGGGGGGGGGGGGGAAGCAACCCGTTTTCTTCAGGGGAAGATGGGCAGTGCAACACTTGGGAGTCTGAGGAAGTTTTGAGGGAGGCAGGTGGACATGCAACCCCCATCCTACCTGAGCACAGCCTGTTATGATTTAACCCTTTGCATCTTTGCATAGGGTGGGGGATGAGAGGAAGGGGCCCTTTAGTGAGGCTCTCTCCTTCCCCTGGCCACCGGAGCCTGGTGCGCCCCGCTGCCTCGGGCTGCTCCGACAGAGAGAGGAAGACCGCCACCAAAGAGAGACAGCAAGCAGCGCCCTCCCCTCCGCACCTCCGAGGCGCTCCACATTCAAGCCCGGCCCGCAGGCGGAGCGCAGGGGACAGGGCTGGCGCCGGGGGGCTGCGGTCGGTCAGGCAGGCGCTCCCCTCACAGCGGGCGCAGCCTCCCCGCCCGGCGCCTGCAGAGAGCGTGTGGGGGGCCGAGGTGCGTGGCCGGGCGTCCCCGCGCCCTCGGCCGGCCCCTGCAATGCCGCCAGGCGCCGCCCCGGCCAGTTGCGA